TTCTTTGTCTTCGAGAGCTTTGTCGGCTCTCTCCTTCTCCCCCGCCAACATGTCGGACTGCTCACGAAACATCTCCTCGCTTCGTTCAAGAGCAGTTTTCAGCTTGCGGGTTTCTGTCACAAGAGTCGCCTTCTCTGACTCTAGTTCCTTGACCCGATCCGAGGAGTCTGACCCTTCGTCCGCCAGGACAACCGCCATCTCTGCCATCTTCACCACCCCGACCATGCTGGAAGCGAGGTGCTTCCTTTGACCTTCCTTGTTGAGCCGACTGATGATGTCGGCCTCGTTGTCGGACACAGTCAAGGGATACCCCTCGAAGAAGTCTTTTTCCACGAAGCAGGGTGGTAGGCTGAAGGCCCGAGCACCCGCCCCTCCGTCAGTTAGATCAGTGTGCCCGCCTTCTGGTCGACTCCGCTTTTTGCTCAATAACGCAACTTGCCGCTCGACGTCACGAGAACTCGAGGACCCACTAGATCCTTCCCTGACCGGCTCGGAGGCTGGACCCATACGCGTAGCTTGCTGCGGTTTCACCAGCCTTTTATTGCTCTTCTTCTCTTGGGTCAACTTCATCAATCTCTCTCGTCGTTCCGCCATGTGACCTGCAAAAACAAAGAAAATATGTCTGGGTCATCTACTTCGAAGAAACAAAAGAACGTTATCAATATAGTAAAGGTAAGCAAGAAACCTAAGAGATCTACGACCTGCCCGTAAGATTGACACTCGACAAGCGCCTTGGTATTGATCGGACGTGCCTCAAATATTGGCTCGTCGTCCTCATCAAGGACATCGTGTCCTTCCCTCGTAACCCATCTAGCAGGAAAGAAACCGTCGATGAATCGATTTAGGATGCCATATGCCTCTTCGTCCTCGACGCTCATACCGCCGACGGAAGTGTGGTAATATCCGAGACCATGGTCGTAGTGGGCCGAGCACCAGTGGATGGGAAACTTTGAGATTCTCCCCATCTCAGGATTACTCTCGGCATCCAAACACGGCTCCCCATCCTCGTCCACCACAGTAGCCGGGTCGAACAGTGAATTCATGGCTGTTTGAGTAGATGGTTGCAAGATATACCACTTGTCCTTAAAATCCCGGACAGAATCCATGTATATCCTAAACATCCTCTTCGACTGTTTAAGGGATACCCAACTATGTTTCCCTCCTCGGGACTGCCGTTACAAGTGAAAAACCCTGAAGAACATAGGAATCGTCGCCCTGATCCTCAAGAACCGACATGTAAGTTCGAATTCCCGGATAAAGGAAATCGCGTTGGGATGAAGCTGGGAGGGTGCCAATTTCAAATGATTGAACACCCCCATCTGGAAGTCGTTAAAAGGAGGCTAAAGCCCAAAGTCTTTGAACACGATCTCATACACGGGGAAGGCATTTTGGGTGAACTCCGAGCATATGCGAGCGTCTTGTGTCGGCCTCATGATTTTGAAATTTCTTTGAAAACCCTCCTGTTCGTCGCCATACTCGACGATCGTATAGGCTTGCCTCCTGGTGTAACTGTAGATCAAGGCTATCCCTCGGGGTTCTGCGCCAACCCAATCCAGAGTAGGATCGTCGACGGTGTCGACCAAATTAATGCTCTCCTAGGCAGCGCTGGTTCCCTCGGTGTCCATATGCTCCGATGACTCAGGAGTGTCGGCCATTTACCTGTAAAGTACAGGAAACCGGTGAATTCGACAACAAATCTACCTTTCTGTGACGCAGATGAGGAGTTTAAGAAACGCCCAGACCAAGTCGACGGCCATTCGCACAAAAAGGGGAAATACGTGGACCTTGATCAAGCAGCGATCCTTACGACAAACGCCTATGTCTATCATAAATATACCGGGCATAGGAAGAATATGGCGAGCAGACTATGAATCTCACAACCAAGTTCATAAATTTGTTAGCCAGACACAAGGAGATCACGGGGAAAACTAGCCTAAATACTGACGAAAGAATGAATCTCACGACCAAGTTCATAAATTTGTTAGTTAAACGAATGAATGTCACGGGGATAATCATAAATCATATGCCTAAACGCATGAACGCCACGGGCATGATCATAAATCAAACGCCTGAATTCCCCAGGCGTAACCCCCAGACACGAAACCCTACCACTAAACATCATCAAAATCTATCTACACACAAGATATCAAGGAAAAAGAACGCTTACTTGAAGAAAAGATGAAGAGCGGTGGTTGTTAAGGAAGGGTACACGTTGGACTATGCGGCGGTCACAGGGATTCTGTAAAAACCGCATGGTGTTGACGGCAGAGAAAGTGTAGAGCGCGAAAATGTGAAGGTAAGTTATGAGCTATGGAGCCCTATTTATAGAGCTGGCGTGGAATATGAAATGTCGCGTCGGGCAGTCACAAGCCGCCTTTCTCCCCGACACTTACATGTACAGGAAATGATGGCCCCTACTCCCTAGGTCATCATTATTGTTCCCAAGAGCCACGCCACGTGTCTGACAAGCGTATCATCTTCTCCCCGCGAGTCCTCCTCGAACTCGCTATGATCGCTTCCCGGAGAAAAATCATGAACCGATGACGTTCTCCATCCACGGTAGAAAAATTCCATGTCGAGCATAGCACCTCGCGAAAATACGAATCAAGTCATGACTCTTTCACTAAGAGCAACGACTTGGGGGGGGATCCTGTTCTAGACCGGGCCTTCCCTTAGCCCAACTCCCAGCAAGGCCCAATCCAAGTGTGTCAGCCTGCACCAGTGAATGATACTACCCTCGAGCACGGCTGGAAACTACCTACCTTTTCCCGCAAGAAGACAACCTCACCACGCGGGGACAACGCCCGAATAGATTGAGGAAACTCATGCCCCAACCATGAAGGCTTCGAGGACACCTGAACTAGCTCGTCGACTAAGATTGGTCCCCTATCGAGCTCATATCTGGCGGGGATCACCCACGACGAGCAGACACTCCTCCCGAGCATCTTTCTCGTAGGACTGACTACTATAACGTCTCCGGATATTACGGAGTCTTCGTGGTCCCGGAAAGATCGCATCCATTTCCTCCTGACTTTGTGGAGGACGTCATCCAGGTAGGGGGCCACTCGCGGATCCCCACTACTCACGTAGAACCTGGTAGTCTCTACGTTGGGCCTGCTTGGTCAGCCCAATAAAGAGACATTGGTCCAACGCTAGAGGCTATAAATACCCTCTCTTTCAAGAGGGTCAGGTATTCAACACTTTCTAACTCTTACGCTTGCTTGCTCATTCCGCAACTTACTTTGCCATCAGAATGTCTTGCATGTACCCCCATCTCATTCATCTTCTGCCCGAGCCAACTGTGACGATCCATTCTGATCCAACAAAATCATATATATATATATATATATATATATATATATATATATATATATATATATATATATATATATATATATATATATATATATATATATATATATATATATATATATATATATATATATAATATTTTATTATTTCTTAACAAAATAATTCTTTATTACTGTGTACTAATCATAATGTATTTTGAAAATTTATTTTATACAATTTATTTTTAAATAAATGTAAAATCTTAATTTATTTTCAAAATCTATGCTTTTGTACCGGTGTTTTCAAAAATTTAGTACAAATTCATATTCTTTTAAATTTATTTTTTAAATTAGAACAAGGCATCCGAATTGATTGGATCGGTCTTATGAATTTATATCAGTTGTAGACTATTTATTTTAATGTTCATCTTCATCTTTTAAATCTTTATTTTTCCGATGTTTCATATTAATGCACTACATAATTTATTTTTGACTAAATTATAATTTTTTAAAAATAAAATTTGATTAATATTAAAGACTAAATACTCTCTTGGTCAAGTATATTACTTTAAGTTTTTTTTATTGTTAATTTTATTTCTCATTTTAACAGTTGTAGATTGTTTATCGTAATGAAGGTCATTGCAGACATAGATCTATAGGTAGATGTGAACATATTTATGAGATATTTGTTGTAGATGATACATTTTAATGTCCATCTTTTAAATCTTTCCTTTGTTATTTTTTTATATAATTGAAGTTATAGAATCGACTGTACTATTTATTATAAATACGAATCAATACTTAAAAGTTAATGCATATTTTAGTCTATACTATGTGAATGTTAACCAATTGAAGTATAAATTTAAACTTTACAAATGAAGATTTAATATACGTATAATGTAAATTCGGACGGAACACATGCGATAGCAAAAATATCTTACTAGTTGAATATTAAACTTTCTAATTTACGTTAATGAGCATACAACAAATATGTAAAACATAAAAATTTGACATCTAATTGCATCAATTAGGGATGACAAAAAAAACTTCATTTTTGTAAATTTTCGTAGATAAAATCCATCATAAATATGAGTCCGATAACTTATTGAATATTCACGGCAAATAAAATTAATAGATATTTAATTATCCATTAATCAATAAATATAAATACAAATTAAATAATATTCATACTTATAAATATTCATATCAGTTAATAATTATCAAAATTATTTAAAATATTATTTTATTAAAAATTACATTCACATCCATGAATACCTATTGCCAAAACTAATACTTGTATCTAGGTACCCATGGTCATCTTTAACTCCAATTCATCTATGGCGTCAAGGGTACAAATTAAAAATTAAAAAAAAACCATTATATATTCACTTGTTTTTGACCCAAAAAGCTATCCATATAGATACACATTAGATTCATGTCCTTTATGATTAGACCATCCACCACTACTCCAACTTCCACGTCAGAATTTGGTTATGAAAATTATTTGATACTTTGAAAAGTTTTGTTGAAACTAGTAAAATACTCATTTACCCTTTAAAATATAGTTTCCACAAGGATGAATTTGTAAATTCAACCAAACGGACAATGATATTTTCTAACATAAAGCCATCAATGTACTTTGAAATTTATATATAACTAAATCTCTTTGAAGGCTTGAACAACAAAAAAGAGTATCACACGCTTCAAACTATGGCCTCAAAAAGTGCTATTTCCATGTCAAACTCTCATTCTCTCACAAACAAACCAAAATCACGTACATGCTTGTGCTCTCCCACTACACATCCTGGTTCCTTTAGATGTAGCATGCACAAGAACAAGCCTCAAAGATCCATTCCTAAGAACCCCTTCAAATCCAATACCTCTCATCATTTGAATGAATCGGCGTCGTCGTCATCATCATCTATGGTTGTTAAAGCTAATTCTTTGAAGACATTTCTCTTGCAAGTTATTAAGCCTTCTAGCCATGATGTTCATAGGAGGAAGAATTTTCAGCCTAAGCCTACTCGGTTTTGTTTGATGAATACTAGTAGAGATGTTGTTACTGTTTCTTGATCCAATTTTTTCTTTTGAGCAAAGTTATTTTTGAGGGTGTATAAGACGGACTACATCACGGAGATCAAAACTTGACAATTTGATAAAGAATCTGGATTCTCTATTGCTCTGCTACTGCTCCATACAACATAGTAGAAGTTTTGGGTTCATGTCTAGAGATGGCTTAATTTATTTTTCTTCTTTTAGTGCTCCTTTATAGGGTAAGAAAGAGTGTAATTGAAGATATATGTAAATATAAGATGTTGAAAATTTTGTACGATGCAAATGATAAAAGGTACAACTTTGATTTGAAGTTTCTTAAGAAAAAAAATATGTTGGTTTTGTTGACATATTTAAATTTCGTGGACTGAAACTATTCATTGCATTTCTTATTCTCAGCATGCCTAATCTAATGTAATTTCATTAAAATTTTAATGGTAGTTTTGAAATTTGATAGGATGATTCTATCCCGTGAGACTTTATTACCATTGATAATTTTTTGATTTGGTGATTCGTCAAAAAAGAGGGGATGAGTGATACATCAAAAACACTTCAATGTCTAAATCATTTTTTGCGTTGGATAACAGACTAGATATTTTTTATTTTCAAGAGTATGAACGTGATTTGACGTGGTGTTGACAATGTTTAAAAAAATAAGTGGATATGTAACACTCCAGACTGCTTTCAAAATTATCGATTAATCTCACAAATTACACAAGTCTTTTCATAAATATTTTGTCCTCACTCACATATTTTTTGAGAAACTTTTCAGACGATTACCCATTCAAATACTATTCCAAGTTAATCATGCTTAATTATGAAGTTCTTATTTGTTAGGTTACCGAAAACAAGATGCATCTTGTTGGTATAGGTAATACCAATTAATTCTTATAAGTCTTTCTTCAACCATGCAGTCTCATACCTGCACAGCCTCATGATCCATCTCATTTCGATGTGAATTCAACGAGTCCTCGTCCTCTCCGGCCTCCAAAGTGTCTTATTGTTGTTAGAATTAATTTAGATTTTATAATTAATTAGATATTAATTTATATTTAGGAATATTTTTTAGATTGTTTATATCTTTGTTAGAAGGATATATATATCTTAGATCTTCTTATATCTTTGTTAGAAGATATATTTTAGATTTAATTTTGTGTATAAATAGCCTAGTGGAGTAGGTTATTGTAATTCATTGTAAATTCTTATTCGAAGCTGTCAGTAAATATTCTTTTTACCTTTTATCTTCCTTGTGAACCAACAATTGGTATCTAGAGCTCCTGGTTAGAAACTCTGGGATTTGGGAAACATTGTTTTCATTGAGTTTATGCGTATTGCACAAGGTAGAAGATGAACGGAAACGGCGATGATATTCATTCCAAACTTCCAGTATTTGATGGCAAAAACTGGAATCGTTGGAAGATCCAGATGCGCGTGTTATTTAGTGCTCAAGATGTGTTAGATCTTATCACCGATGGCTATGATCTGTTAGAAGCAGATGCAACCGAGGCACATAAGATAGAACAGAAGGCGCTGAGGAAGAAAGATCAGAAGGCATTGGTCTACATCCATCAATGTGTGGATGCGAATGTGTTTGAGAAGATTGCTAATTCTGAAACAACAAAGGCTGCATGGGACACACTGGTCATATGTTACGGTGGTGACGCATCAGTGAAGAAGGTGAAGCTTCAATCTCTCAGAAAGAAATATGAGAATCTCAACATGAAGGACAACGAGAAGGTTTCTGAATACGTCTCTAGAGTGATTCTGATCACTAATGAGATGAAAGCTTATGGAGAAACTCTATCTGAGTAAGTAATTATTGAGAAGATCTTGAGATCTTTAACTTCTCTGTTTGATTACATTATGGTAGCAATTGAACATTCTAAAGATCTGAGCACCATGAGAGTTGAAGAACTGTAAAGTAGTCTAGAAGCACATGAGTTGCGTATGATTGCAAGAACTTCTGAGAGGGAAGTAGAGCAGCAAGCTCTGAAAGTAACTTCTGGTAAGAAGCATCAGAAGCAGACTTGGTCAGAAGCCAGAAAGAAAACTAATGGTGGTCAAAGGTTAGAAGCTTCAAACTCTGATAGGCAGAAGAATGTCCAAAAGGGAAAGGAGAAGTCTGACAAGAAGAATGTTCAGTGTTACTGTTGCAAGAACTTTGGTCACTATGCCAGGGATTATTGGTCCAACAAAGAAAATAAGTCGGAAGAAGCAAATATAGCAAGAGGAGAGTCTGATGATGAACCTGTGCTATTGTTGGCTTCTGAACCTGATGATCTGAATTTATCAGAATGTTGGTATATGGACACAGGGTGTTCAAACCATCTTACTGGAAACAAGAAGTGGTTGGTTAATTTTGACTCTGGGAAGAGTACAAAGATCAGATGTGCTGATGATAAATACCTCAAGGCAGAAGGTATGAGAAATGTCAGAATAATTCTAAACAATGGGAAAGCAGCGATGATCCAGAATGTTTGGTATGTACCTGGCATGAAAAGAAATCTAAAGAGTGTGGGACAACTGGTTGAGAAAGGTTTTTCAGTTACCATGAAGGAGAATCTTCTGAAGTTGTATGACTGTAATTAGAAGTTGATTATGGATTCAGAACAAGAAAGGAACAGAACATTCAAGGTGAATGTTAGTACTGCAGACTCTAAATGTCTTAGTGCAACAAGTGTTGTCAAGGAGAGTGACCTATGGCACAGAAGATTTGGTCATCTGAATTTCAGAAGTTTAGGACATCTGAAATCAAAGAATCTGGTACATGGAATTCCTATAATCAAGAAGCCTGAAAAGTCATGTAAGGTGTGTGTAATACGGTGGGAGAACCTGAAGGAGTAAGAAAACACTTAGAAGGGGGGTTGAATAAGTGACTCTTTTCGTTTTCAATACAAAGCTCAAACAATAATGGAATAACACAGTTATTTTTATCCTGGTTCGTTTGAACTCAAACTACTCCAGTCCATCCGCCAAGGTGATTTCACCTTTCTCAACAAGGACTTAATCCACTATAATCAACTGATTACAATCACACAACAACTGTTGTGGCTAACAATGCACAAGTAATCTTACAAGTGAGTAACCACACTAAGACTTAAATCTAGTCCTAGTCTTCTTGAGAAATATGACCAAACTTGGTCTCTCAAGGAACAAATACAAATGTATAATCTTTACAGATAATTGAAATAGAGTTTTCTTCTAATCAAGCTATATCACAACTTTGATTTTTCACTTAGAATATAATACACAAAATTGTATGAACTATGAGTTTGTTAGCTTTTGAATCTTTCGCGTAGTTTCTTTTTTTGAACGTTGTTGTTGGCTTATAATAAATGTCCTTCTTCTTATAGTAGGAATAATAAGACCGTTGCTTCCTTCAGAGGAAATGGAGAGCATTAAATGCTTTGCGTGTATCCTTGCATAATTCCATTCTCCAAGAAACTAGTTGTGGGCACTTGAGTGCTTTCAGCCGTCTTTGCATTAATTAGCAAACGTCAGAATGTAAGAACGTGTTTCCTTTGCTTTGACAAGACATGTTGATTAAGACGTTGTTGCTTTAACTCAGAACATGCTTCATTCAACTTCTGGTCAGAGTGTTGCTTGCTAAGAACTTTGAACAGCGCTTGCTTTCAAGTTGTCTTCAGAATCAAGAAGCCTGCTAGAAGTTAGAAGATACATTTAAAAAATAAAGGTTCTTACCAGAGTCAGCAGATGCGTTTGAATAAAAGGTTATTTTATCAAAGAACTTCTTCATAATCTTTGCTTAGTACTTTGGAATGTTTCTTATCAGAACATTAACTAAGACATTCAAAACACATTCATTAGAGCATAAATTATCTTAAATATAATTTAGTTATCATCAAAACACTTGAGATAGGTCAGAACTAATCTTGTTCTTTCAATCTCTCCCTTTTTGATGATGACAAAAAATTATTTTAGATAAAGAGAAGAAACAGATTAAGAGATAAGAATCTCCCCCTGAAATGAATATTTCTTTGCATAAGACATCCTGAGATTATTTAGTCAGAGTGATACACAACCTTCTTGAATTTCTTCAGAATTTCTTCAAGAAGATAAATCTCAGCTGGAATATTCTTTCAGAGTTAAATGATACCTGCAAAAAAAAATCTTTTGCACAGAAGGAATTTTTGCAAATTTGTTAGAATGTCTGAGACATAGTCCCATAACTGTTAAATAGTGATTAGTTCAAAAATGCACATTTTCTCCCCCTTTTTGGCATAATCAAAAAGTGTAATAAATGAGAAATTTTGAAAGATTTCATAAAAAGTTAAAAATAGATATCCAGAAGTACAAACAAAACATTCAAATAAGAGACAAAAAGAAACTAGGATTTCTTAGAGACAAGAGCCATCAGAAGATTCTTGATCTCAGAGGCAGATTCACTTTGCATTGCCATCCAGTTCTTGAACTCTAGATTTGTTTGATCTTGCTTATCCATGCATCTATTCAAGACTTCATTCTCCCTCTTTAGCTCTTTCAGAGTTTCCATAATGAGTGAGGTAGGGTAAGAAGATGATGAAGCTTCAGTAGAAACAGGGTCAGAAGCAGCAACTGATGAATCAGATTTCACAAAGGTGGAGAGCAGAGTGCCCAGATCCATTGCAAGAGTTGGCATAGGTTCAGGTCCATCCTTAACTGAAGGTTGATTCAATAGAACAATAGCCAGAGGATTTGAATCTTCAGAGTATTCTTCAGATTCATCTTCTGATATGTCCATCTTATCAGCTGGTGTATCAACAATCAGTAGCGGAGACTTCTTATTCCAAGTATCAGCAGCTTCTGTCTTGAAAACATGCAGAAGTTTGGAAAAGTTGTCCAGCACCTGAGAGTGGCACAAATCATGTAACTTCCGTGATTCAGCAACCAAAGTTCTTTTGAAGGTTTCCCATAGAAGATCTGTTGCTGTTGTGTTTACACTTCTGAGACAATCTTCTTTCAGCGGTTGTAACCATGCTTGAACATTTGTTATAAAATTCTGAAACAAAATATTTACATCT